ATTTAGTTGTTGAACTTGTTGGTTTAGGTGTAGCTGTGAGTCGAGTAGAAAAATTTTTAAGTGAACCTGAACTAAAAAAAGATAATATAGTTTTTAGTTTAGATTCTACAATCGGATTGACGGGAGTTGATGCCTCTTGGAACCATAATACGAATTTTCGCGAACTTAATAATGACTTTTGTTTAAAAAACATTACTTTGAAATTTCCTATAGGAAAAATTAGTTTAATATGTACGGATATTTCAATTTTTTCCTTTTTTTTTTTTTTTTTTGATTTAATTACGACTATTATTGATCATTCTTTTTTTTTCAAATAGGCGGTCATAAATTTTCCGGTAAAACCATGTTTTTCCTAACTCTCCTTCGCGAAACCACAGTCACAAACGGTACTATACATTTTCCTACATCTTCTGTGGCTTATGTTCCTCGACAAGGATGGTTGGAAAGTACAAACATCCGAGAAAATATCTTATTCGGAACAAATTTTGAACATGAACGTTACTGGAATATAGTTGATTCATGTGGTCTGACAATAGACTTTGAGAATATGGACGAAGCCGATTTCACGGAGGTATTAAAATTGAAAATTACCCACTTTTTCTATTATTAATAATGTTGTTATTTATATCTTTAATATTTAATCATTAATAAATATTGATTTTATGTAACAAGTGTGAAGATAAAGATGTGGTTCTAACGGATGGACAAAAAGCTCGTATCTCGTTGGCAAGAGCGTTATATAGTTCAGCTCAAATATTACTTTTAGACGATTGTTTAGCAGATTTGGAACCCGAGATGGGTTTGTATTTAGTTTAATTACCTTTTCTTACTTTAACCGCAAAAAAATTTTATGCGTCATACAAAACTTTTTTTTTTTTATTATTATTTAAGCTCGACAAATTATCAATAATTGTCTAAAGAGTCCGTTAGTTAGTGGGAGGACTGTAATAATGTCAACAAAATATGCTAGATATCTTTTGGATGTTGCTGAATACATTGTGGTACTTGGAGATGGGACGGTTCGTTCAAAAGGACATCCAGAAGAAGTGCATGAATCAGGATTTTTAACTGAAGATATGCTCGGAAAAGATGATGAACCAGTTCTTGATCAAGTTGACAAAAATGATCAACTAATGATTGAAAAATCCGATAAGAGAAATTGGGCAGCAGAAGAAGGTTAATATTCTGGAATATTTGATTTTTTGATCTATTATAAAGCTTTCTTTAAGTCTCATTCTTATTCCCATTTTGTTCACATAACTAGCTCGCTCCCAAGGAAAAGTTCCGTTTAGAGTTTATTTATTCTATTTAAAATCTAGTGGAGGTTTATCTCTTTGGTTTATACTTGTTCTATTATTTATTATTATTAGAGTTTTGACGGTTGGCGAGACATATTGGTTGAAAATATGGTCCGAAAATGGAGATCCCCCAAGTGATCATTCAAATTTGGAAAACTTAATATTTTACATAGGAATATATGCTTCAATTGCATTTACTTCGGCTATTTTTACAATTATTCGAATGGCTTGGCAATTTTTCGTTTCACTAAAAGGCTCTAGAACTCTATTTTCAAAACTTCTTAATTCGATTCTGAGAGCACCTTTAAGTTTTTTTGATACAGCACCTCTAGGAAAAGTTATGAATAGATTTTCTAAGGATTTAGGAATGATTGATCAAGGTGTTGTTACCGTTATATCAAGCTTCCTTGGAAATGCTGTGGGTGCGATGAGCATACTTGTTGTGGTGACGGCTGTTACCTATGAATTTGGAATAGTCTCGATTTTAGTTGGTTAGCTATAATTAATTTATAATTAATTAATTTTTTATAAATTAATATTTTTAATAAGTTTCATATTTTTTTTTCATATTACTCTCATATATTATATATTATATATTATAGTTTTATGGTATGTGAATATTGGTAGTAGATATATTAATGTTTCAAGAGAACTAAAACGTCTTCAATCGATGACTCGAGCACCAGTAGTTTCTTGGTTTGGTGACTCAGTCATGTAAGTTCTTTTTTTTTCATAATTCTTTTGTATTATAAAAAATATTATTATTAATTTGAAATTTTTTCATTTTATTTTACAGCGGTATCGCCATCATTCGAGCATTTAATATCGAACGTCTATTTGTTAGAAAATTTATTGATCGGTTATTATTATTATTATTATTAATTTTCATTTCTACCGGTTTTCTTAAATATTATATTAACAAATTAATTTAAATTATATTGTATATGTTATAGTTTGAATACTTCAAACCGTACGACATATCTGCTTCATATGTCTAATCGGTGGATGTCAATACGTATGGGAATAATTGGGGCATTTGCGGCATATATTGCAGGATACTTAATTCTTAAAAATCATGATCGTATTAATGCTGGATTAGCTGGTTTCTCTCTTAGTTATGCGCTTGGTTTTGTACAGATTGTATTTGTAAGTATTTATAATGATAATAGAATATTAAAATTTTTATCATTATTCTTTCTCGATTGATTTGTTTTCTTACATTTTCAAAAAGATGTTGGTCAAAGATTATACAACCATGGAAACCAGTTTGAGTAGGTGAGTTTGTATTGTGATTTATATATATATATATTATTTTTTTTTTATTAAGAACAATAATTCAATTATTCAAGAGATTATCCTTATGCCTCATATTTATTCATTTTATAGCGTTGAAAAAATCCAAGAGTATATTGAAATGCCACAAGAGCATCCAGCTGTTATTACTAACGCACATCCTCCAGCTGCGGTATGTAAATGTAAATAATTAATCTTCCTATGTTTTTGAACATATTAATTCTATATATATATTTTTAAAATTAGTGGCCAACCAATGGGAACATTGAAGTATCTAATTTAACAGTTCAATACGGAGAAAATGAAGAACCTGTCCTTCAAAATGTTTCGTTTATTGTTCAAGCTGAAGAAAAAATTGGCATAGTCGGAAGGTGAAAATATATCACAATCATTTTTATGACTCAGTTATTAATAGCACAACATTTTTAGTTTTAACGATAATCAATAATAATCGAACTGATTGCAGAACAGGCTCTGGAAAAACGACTTTGGCTAATTCATTTTTGAGATTAACTGAAGCTACTGACGGTAAAATTGTAATTGATGGGATAGATATTGCCAATATAGGTTTAGAAGACCTAAGATCTAGATTAACAATTATATCTCAAGGTTTGTTGTTCAAAACGAGTTTAAATATATATATCTCTCTCTTTCTCTTTTTTTTTTGAATAATTGTCATATAATAACATGTTCACTCTTTCTTAGACCCAATTCTTTTTGAGGGAACCGTTCGATCAAATTTGGATATACGTGGCGAATACAATGATCATGAATTGTGGGAAGCGTTAAGAAGAGTACATCTCATTCATATCGAAAGTCCTCCAAATGGTCAATTATTAATCATTGGACCGATAACATCTCTCGATGATCCCGTCAACGAAGGTGGTAGTAATTTCTCTAGAGGACAAAGGCAGTTGTTATGTTTAGCAAGATCTTTATTAAGACAATCAAGGGTAATTATTTTGCTTTATAATAATTGAAAAATAGTTTTTTTTTATAGTCTAGCAATTAATTTAAATATTATATATACTTTTTGTTTGCATAGATTATTATTATGGACGAAGGTAAATTATTTATTTATTGATTGTTTATTAAATGTTTTATTAAATCGTTTATTTGTTATGGATTAATCTTATCCTTCTGAATGAAAAATTTTTTTTATTTTTATTTTAAGCTACTGCAAGTATTGATATTGAGACGCAAAATAAGATACAGGAAATTATAACAGAAGAATTTCGACATGCTACAGTTTTAAGTATTTCACATCGGTTTCAAAATATTATAGATTCGGATAGAATTCTAGTTCTTAGTAAGTACGATAAATTAATTTTTATTCTACATAAATTAAACAATGAAAAAAACTAACCTATTATTAATATTATTATTATTAAATTTTAATAAAATAAAATAAAAGATGAAGGTTCCATCGTAGAATTTGATACGCCATACAATTTAATCAACGATCCAGATAGTTTGTTCAGGCATTTATGTGAACAAACTGGTGAATTAGATTCATTAACAGAAATGATCAGATTAAATAATTTAGAAGAATATGAAATAAATGAAGAGGAAAATTATGTAGAAGATGAGGAAAATTATGTAGAGGATGAAGAGAACGAAGTATTACAAGATATGGAAATAGGAGATGAAACTGATGAACAAGAAGATAATCGGACAGAACGTGAATCTGATCAAACGGAAACGGAAAATGAAATAGAACGAGAAGCCAATGAATATGATCAAGAAGCTATTGAATATGATCAAGAAGCCAACGAATATGATCATGAAATAGTAGAACAGGATGATGATCAAGATATATCAGAAGATTATTAACCATGAAAAAAAAAGAACAATGTTGTAAACTATATTAGATTATTTAAGAGTGATGAAAAGATATTGTATAATTAAAGGAAATGTAAATTAGTGTATTTTTACCTTATTATATTTAAATTGCATTATGAGAATAAATTAAGGTGATAGATATAATTAATCCATATTATCCATATTATCCACATTATTCATATTATTCATATTTTAAATATAAATATCATTTTTTATCTAATTAATAAATTTCATCAAACGGTCGTGTATCGTTGAAACAACTCTCAAAAACTTCTGATACAACTCTTTCTGCTACACCAGGTGCAGAACATTGAGAATTCTTTTGAACTGATAGTATAGCTCGTCTTTTAACACATGCCTTTAAATGAGGTAGAAAATGAAAAGAAATAAATAGAGAGAAAAAAAAATGCTAGGAATTTAAAAAAAAAAAAAAAAAATTTTAAAATAAAACAATTAATTAACATTCAATTCATTGACAAACCTGGTGTTGTTTCGTGAAATTAAAAAAACCTCTTCGAATTTCACGTGTCCAACGACAATCACCACTTAAAGACGCTGCTCTAATCTATTCGTCAAGATATTTTACTAAAATATCTTTCATTTAAATAAATAAAGTAAAGTAAAGTATAGTATAGTATAGTATAAATAAGAACCTCACTACATGCATGATGATAACAATTATTCCAATCTACTTTAAATCGACAATGATCATAAAAATGCATCATTTCATGTACCATTGTATCTTCGGCATGACTTTTACTAAAAAATCTATTCTGACATAAAAGTATCCCATGATCTGGAGAAAAACCTCCACTCCGTGTATTATCACATGGTAAACATTTAAAATGTTTTTTTTCTATTTTACATCCTGCCTCTTCTAATGATTTTAACATAAATACTACAATTGGACCTATAATAATAAAAGAATGTCATAATGCTTTTTTTTTCTTCAAATTAAAAAAAAATAAAATAAATAAATTTAAATAAACTAACTTCTTTCCATCAATTTATCTTTCCATTTTTCACATCTTTCACATTGATATTCTTCATAATTATTTTTCAATTCAATTTTATATTCTGCTTTTTCTTGTTCTGTTAAACCCATACCAGTAATGTACATTAACTTTTTTCTCCATTTTTCAAAAATTCTTTTATCTTTTTCTTTAATTTGTTCATTTATTATTACTGGACTAATGGACGAAATTGGATTTTTTGTTTGATCGTTGTTAGAAGTTGAGTGCGCAGAAGACATAATTGATGTTAACTGATTATCTTGAAACTTTTTTATAATAAAATTTTTTTTGCTTTTTTTTTTTGTCACACTTAAAATATCAATTTAATTTATTTAATTATTCTATCAAAAAAAAAATGTATACTACTTATTCTTATTATGATATACTTGAAATTTCAGAAAACGCTTCCATAGAAGAAATCAAACAAAAATTCCAAAAATTGTTACTTCATGTAAGGTTATTTCTTTTATAACCTTTTGATAAAAAGGGGATTCTTGAGAACTAAGTAGTAAATTATTGCTTGTGCCTTTGAAAAAGCATCATCCAGATAAATTTCAACAATTTCAACAAAAAAGTTTATTAAAACCTACAACTAATAATAAGTCTGATGAGATTTCAAATGTAACAAATAGTAATAAAATCAAAGTAAATGATGACAAGATAAATAAAATTCTTGAAGCATGGCACGTTTTAAGAGATCCAGAATCAAGAAAGATTTATGATAACAATTTAAGAGGTATGCATTGACATCGCATATTAAATATTTTTTTATCTTAATTTTTTTTTTTTTTTTGATGAATATTATTTATATTATAATATAATATAGCAAAGATGCTCAAACAGGATGGAATATTTAACGCAGAGGTTGATTTAGATGATATGGAATATAATGAAGGTAAAAAAAAAAGTAATTTAAAGATTTTAGTTATTAGATTTTAATGAATTCTATCTTCTATCTTCTATTTTAGATATGAAGTCATATTCAATTTCTTGTCGTTGTAATGGTTTATACATTATAAGTGAAGATGATTTGGATCAAGGTGCAAGTATAATTGGTTGTATGAATTGTTCGTTAAAAATAAAGATATTATATGAAATTATGGAATAAATATTTTATTCATTTTATACTATTTTATACTTGACTGGAATAAAAAGTTTTCATTTATTTTATAATCATCATTTTCGTCATCATTTTCTTTTCTTTTCTTTTGATTGAATTTTTTGTAGAATTTCTTCACGCCAAATGAGATAATCCTTATATAATTTTGTATCTTTATAACTTTTTCCTTCCTAATAATAATAATATATTGAACAATATTATTATTAATATTAAATATTAAAGATTAATAATATATTGAATAATAATAATATTATTATTAGATTTTAATAATATATTAAATAATAATGATATTGAATAATATATTGAATAATATATTGAATATGTTGAATAATAATGATATTGAATAATAATAATAATAATAATAATAATAATAATAATAATAATAATAATAATAATAATAATAATAATAATAATAATA